TAATATAATATTGTATGTGAACTGTAATTGAAAAATAAAGCACTCTTCAAATGAAGTTTGCACATGTATGGCAATAACTGCACAGATGGTCTGAGATAGTCCACAATTCAGCACTGGGAACCTTCCACTCAGAAAAGCCACATTTCACTGAGTTCAGGCCCAGTAGCTAAGAAGAGATGGGAAACACCTGCTGTAATTTCTCATGTGGAAAGCTGCCACAAGATGTTTGAGTCTTTAATGAAACCTCAAAACTACAAACCTTCTCATGCCCAGTGAAATCTATGCTCTGAAAATGCTTCCCTGGGATCCAAAATTTGTGTGGAAGCAAAGGGGACTCTATGGAAAGGAACCTCACAGGATGATCTGGTCATAAATCCCTAACAGGGCAGGTCATGGTGCGTAGCTATGCCCCATGCATAGAACTGCTTTGATAACAGGTGTGTCTTTGCATTAAGCAAGCCCTGTGCATTGCTTCTGTGCATTTAGGTTAACATACTTTTGAGATGGCTCCCTTCGGACCCCTCCTCCCAATACCTGACCATCCTTTCAGATCCCTCCCTCTAAATCGTGAGAGCATGCAGCATAAGCTTCATTAGTTTATAATCTGATCCCCACCTTGCTTTCTCCCACCTTCATGTGATCTTCCTTACGTTCTCTCCTTCATTCAAATGCATAAGAGAAATTGCAAAACTGTTATTCTCGGGAACATGTGAGATCTTGCTTCCCCCCAGGTGTCCTGAGTTTGGCTCAAATAAACTCTTATAAAAAATTATCTGCTAGTTTGGACATTTCTTACATCAACCGTTGTAAAACTCACAAATTCTCTGAGATCATAATCACAACACTTGAGGATCATGACCATTCGGAAAGCATTGTGCCATCCAAGGGGGAGACAGCTTTATCTCTGTCAAACCCTGGCATGTCTTTAAAAAACTGTTTGTAATGAAAATACCCTCTATGTCATTTGCTAATATTTTTACCTGGTGTGGAGAAGAAAACCTCTTTTCATATGTCAGCCTGCTTCCTTCTAAGGAAAAACGGAAACCCTTTTTTCTAATGCTGTCTTCAGATTCAGATTTGCAGACTCTGTCTTCCTTCTCTTCTTCTCCAGATTGTTCTTTCTGTTTCTTTTTCTTCCTTCTGTTTTTCAGCTCTTTTTCGCTCTTGGAGCTCAACTTGGATGCTACTGAAGAACTCTCCGAGAAAACTCCTAACCCGCCTGCACCACTGAAGTCTCTGGACTCAGCAGATGTCGCTGCAGCTGCTGCCTAGAAGAGCACGGAGTATATGTTAGTTGCATACAAACTTTGGGGAAATCTCTCCGTGCTACTGTTTAACTTACCTTTAGTATCACACTGATACATATTTTGGAGAATAATATATTGCCATTCAACCAATTAAAGAATTAAAATGAACAGACCCATGGAAGATGAAACATGTGACCGAGGAAAACCTTCAAGCTCTGGCCTCATACTATACTTTCTGATTCTGTCATAATATGAACAGGACACTTGAATGTCATAACAATTTTTTTTCTCTGATCTAAACAGTATCTTAAGAAGCAAAGATTTTAAGAATTAAAGTTGCCTATTTTAATCTGATCCATCACACTTTTATTTGACAATGACTTTTTTTAAATTTAATATATTTTTTATTAAATTATTATTTTTGTACATATATCAATACCCCCCCTCCCGTACATACCCTCCCAATGTCTTTTAATGCCAGTCTAAATCACTGAATTTAATTCAGTCAGGTATTGTATTGTTTTATTTTAATGAACTCCTCCCCTATTTGACTTAAATTAAGAATTTCACTAAGAAGTGTACAACAAGAACATATTACAGATTATATATAGGGAAATCCCAGATCATGTCATCTGAGTGAGTTTATAAATTACATTAGCACAGTTTCTGGAAAAATACAGTGTTCAATGTTGTTGCTGCTACCCCAGTATGTTTTTATTTATCTGACCTTTATTCTGTATGCAGTTAAAAGAGAACTATCCAAGAAAAGCCAAAAATAGGCAATTAAACTAGTTAATGTCATTAAGTCAAGAAAATATAATTAGAGAAATTATGGCCTTGTTTAGAAGTTTTAACAAGTACAAATTAAAGGACTTAGGGGGAGAAGGCAGAGAATATAGCGATTTACTATGTCCCACACAGCAGTGTTTCCCTTATGCAGTCCACAAACTTGCATTTAAATACTCTCCAAATGGAAAATAAATATTAAATAGGTATTGGTCTTTCCAGACTCTAGAAAATAATCTTCCCAGTTTAACTCTGGTTTCCTGACCTTTCCCACTGCTAATGACACTAATGAAGAAGCAGCAACAACTGAATTCCTCTTCGGAAGCTTAAGAAAAGACTTTGATTGAAGGCATGTTAGTCTAGTTACTTAGTGAGTTTGAACAAATGAGGGGTCACAAAGGAGAGAAAAATGTCAATAAAGCAATTATAAATTTCCACGTTTTGATGCCATTAGTATTGACAGTAATTTTTAAAATAAAATAATAATCTCCTAATAATCAAATAGGCTTAGAACACTTCCCAAACACACATGACATGTTTTAAATATCACTATAACCACTGCTGATCTTATTTCTCTTCACTTTATGCCTCTGGACTTCACCGGTTCAGACAGGGACTTGAGATTAACAAACACAAAAGAGCTCAATGTTTGCTAACTATACCTGAGCTTCTTCTTGTTGTTTTCTTAGCTGTTCGAGCATCTGCTGAAATTCAGCCTCTTTCTGCTCTGCCTCTTCCATGGTGGCCTGATTCTGCTCCTCATAGGCCATGGCCACCACAGCCAGGATCAAATTTATCAGGTAGAATGAGCCCAGGAAGATGACCAGCACAAAGAAGATCATGTATGTTTTCCCAGCAGCACGCAGTGTCTACAAAATGGAAGAGACATTTTATTTAAAATTATACGGGATGTTAGGAGCTCACACTCTACAAAAATAAAGTATTCCACAGCAGTTCTGATCTCAGTATTTCACGCTTCTCAGAAGAGTCATTTTCTTCTGTTCTCACCAGTTGATAAAGGTTTTCCCAGAAGTCTTGTGTCATAAGACGAAATAAGGACAGGAAGGCCCAACTGAAGGTGTCAAAGCTCGTGTAGCCATAGTTGGGGTTGCGACCAGCCTTTACACAGATGTATCCTTCCGGACACTGGCTGAAATGAGGTCAAAGCAAAGAGAGGAAGTCAGCAACTGAAAGTCTGCTGGCTGTCTTTCTGGTTTTGACAGATGCCAATGCCTAGTCTATACAACAGTGAGGAAAGCAGATCTCTCTCATTTTACCTAGCACTTCAGTCAGCACCCTTGGACTGATTTACATAATAACTAAGCTTATTTGTGAATTCCTATGTAATTCACCATTGTCATTATTATATTTGTCGCATCTCCATACATAAAAACAGTCAAGTTATGATTGCTATCTCTGGGGACTTGTGGACATGGAGAGAAAAAAATGAGTCTTTAGAGAAAAAATAAACACTCACTGAAGATATCTAAAGGCAGAAATGTGTGTGTGCGAAAAGGGGTGAAGAGAAGTGGTGGGGAGAGGTTGAAAGGAGGAAATGGCTCTGCATAATGAAAGCGTCATATGATTCATAAGACCTTGATGATCAAGCTGATCTGGGCTCTTCATTGTGCCTGAGGTTTCTGGGCTGCGTGATCTGAAGCGGATTTCCTAACCCGACTCAGCTTTGGGCACTTCATATGTAAGAAGGGCCTAATGACAGAACCTGCCTTACAGAGGGACAAGCATTGAATGAGATATTGTTTGCATAGCATTCAGTACAGGTCAGACAAGAAATTAAAGGCAGTCCCGCCCTGAGCAATTTGGCTCAATGGATAGAGCCTCAGCCTGCAGACTGAAGGGTCCCGAGGTTCGATTCCAGTCAGGAGCATGTACCTTGGTTGCGGGCACATTCCCAGTAGGGGGTGTGCAGGAGGCAGCTGATCTGTTTCTCATCAATGTTTCTAGCTCTCTATTGCTCTTTCTTCCTCTCTGTAAAAAATCAATAAAGTATATTTAAATAAATAGAGGCAGTCTGTTTTATGATCACTGGGATCTGAAAATAAAGGCAGTGCAATCTTTAGCATATGAGTTAAATGCAAAACCTGCAACCCTTGAGAATTTTGCTAGGTAACCGGTATCAGTTACTGATGTCCACAATATCACGTTCCATAGAAAGAATAATCAAAAGTTCTTAATGAGTGCTATAGTAGCTGTACATTTACTAAGCCATTTAATTCTGTTTTTAAAATATATTTTATTGATTTTTTTACAGAGAGAAAGAGAGAGGGATAGCTAGAAACATCGATGAGAGAGAATCATCGATCAGCTGCCTCTTGCACACCCCCTACTGGGGATGTGCCCGCAACCAAGGTACTACATGCCCTTGACTGGAATCGAACCTGGGACCTTTCAGTCCACAGGCCAACGCTCTATCCACTGAGCCAAACAGGTCTCAGCAGCCATTTAATTCTTCACAGTCACCTCCTATTATACCCCTTTATTACCTAAGGAAACGGTAAAGCAAGGAGAAGTGACTTTTTATGGTTTGAATCCATGCAAACTCTCCAATCTATGTTCTTAACCACTTTGCTAAAATATTCTGGGACATACACTCATCATGCCGCAGGAAATGATTCATCTTCAGATATTATACACTTGAAGTCATGGAGACCATATTAGCATAGTAGATAAAATATCACACTTATAAAAGTACATACTTTCAAATTCTATTAACTTAAACTTATAAAAGTACATACTTTCAAATTCTATTAACTTAAGCTTCTATTAACTGTTTTTCTATTTTTTTTTTTTAATCAAACTAATTTGGAAGATCACCTGCGAGCTAGTATGGAAAAATAATTGCCGCATATGAGTGTGTGAAAGAAGTGAGAATCTGCACTTACCACAGCTATTTTGAGAGTCAGTGTGAAGTTGAATTTATGGAGAGTTTTGAATGAGGAGCGAGCAGGGGCAAGTTGGGTGGGAGGTGGCAGGTTATTGAGGTGGATAGAGCAGGTGGACTAAAACTCATTATAAAACATCACTTACCCTGCATCTGAGCTGTTGCCACAAAGCAGAGCATCATTTTGTCCTTCCAAGAAATAAAAGTGACCTATTGAAAGAGTGAGGAATAGAAAGAATCATTAAAAAGCCCTCAAAGGATTTCTGCCATTCTGCCTAGATAATAAAGTGTACAATATTTCAACTATAACAAAATGGGTAAAATAATAAATATGTATATGGCAATGAAAATAATTTAATAATAATTGAATATTAAAATATATCAAAATATAATTTTGTAAATTAAACAAATGTTTTAAAAATCTGTTTTAAAAAATTTGGAGGGAATAATTATGCTAATATTCTCATATCAGAATTTACTCTAAATATAAATCCAAACTGTTTGAGGTACTTCAAAAAGAGCTGCCAAATCAAGGCTATATTCTTGGCCAAAAAAAAAAAAAAGGGAGGGGGGGAGAGAGAGGTAAGCCTTGTTGCTTCTAAATGTTTTCATGCAGATAAAATTTTATTTTTACAAATACATTTTGCCTGACTCCAAATAGATACAGACATTCTTCTCCTACCCATTTTAAGTTAATTTCCTTTGAAAAATGGGCTTAGGAATTTGCTCTTTCTATGTTATTGTAAATATTTTTTTACTTTGTATTTTGGCATGATTACTATCTTTCAAATGAGCAAAATAAACTTCTTTCTCAGGAGATATATATTTTCTAAACATATCTAGTTCTTATTCTTATGGAATATCTTACATATAACTTTAATAAGTTGCAAAGATGATCTCAAGAAACATACATACATAAACTGAAATATGTACATATTTACATATAAACACACACATGCACACATTAAAACACACACATACACAAATATTGAACAAAAAACTTATTATGGTTGTTTTTAGGAATACTTAGTCTGCATTCAAGAAATATTCTAATATATTATGCAGGAAAATATGGGTCACTATTTTGAAAAAAAAGTCTTAATCTTTACCTCACAACATATAAAATCTTTAAAAACTATTCTAGATTTTTAAAGATTAAAGATTTATAAACAAGTCCATTAATCTGAAATAAAGGACATATAGAATTTTTTTCATGTAGAATATGGAGGTGGCTGCTTTACATGTAGTCTACCTAAGTGAGTTTTTATTATCTCTAAATCAAAATTGTTTTCTAAACTAAAATATAGAAAAGGATTCAATAATCTAATGGCGCCATTGCCAAAAAAATCATAATCATATTGTCCAACTTGCTTTTCATCCTAAAACCAAATAACAGGATGAAAAACAAGCTGAATAATATATTTGCCAAAAATGTTAATATTCTTGATAAAATAAGAGTGCATATGAATTTTGTAAATATACTATCACTTGATGGAATAATGGGTAAAAATATCAAAAGATAATTCACATTATATAAAATAAGTGTAACTTACTAATGATATTCATAAATATATCTTTTAAATTCTACTGCATAAATAGTTAGGAACAAGAGGATATTCTTTTCCTTTGATCAAAAGATTTTAAATGTGGCAATAACAATATTAGTGAGTGGTCTGATCTCTCTGAAGAGCAATTTGACAATGTCTACATAACCTTAATCTGGTCATATTCTTGAACCAAAAATATTCTATTAATGAAAATCTACCTGAAAGAAACAATTAGAGATAGAGGAAATATTTATGTGCAAAGATTATCATTGTGCTATTATTATATCAATAAATGAAAAACCTCAGAAATAATGAAATAATTTGTTTACTTTATTCATTTATCCAATGAATCTTAATCTTTCCATTATTCATAAGAGTGTACAAATATTAATATATTATAGTATTGACATAGTGTTAATATAGTATTAATGTTAAAATATGAATAAAGTGTGAGAAGGGATAACATTTCATATGGTTCTAAAAGCTATAAAAGTTTTAGAATTAGTATGCCAGTGGAGTTTTGATAATCAAGGGATCAATGGAAGTTGGTTAGTTAATTGTACATGGAAAGGATGAGACTTGAAAACCAAATGGAGGGGATGGTTTCAATGGTAAGAAGTTATATTTCAACATTAACTCAAACTACTGATTTATTTCAGATGATGAAAAACTTCTTATCCCTGACTACCAAATAAATACAGCTTAATGTGGTATTGCTTTCAACACCGATTTAGGAAAAGATAACACACGTTCAAATAATAACTTTTACTATGTTGATTGCCAGATAAGAAACAAGAAATTTCATTTCTGCATCACATGTGCTGGTTTATCTTAAACTGGTCTGGTCATTTGGTTTACATAAAAAATTGAGGCAATTTCCACTATGTGTATTTTTTAATAATCAAATGACTAAACAACATAACAGATAAAAGAGTGTATCTTACTTTCATCCTCAATATATTCATCCCAGTTAAAGGTGCTCACTGTCTTATTGAAAGCGGTACCGTTCCCATCCAAGGAGTAGTTAAAGAAGGAAGTGATGTTTATTCCGAAGGAAGAATTATCTGGGGGCCATTGCAAACACTTATTCCTCAGGTTGCCCATAAATAGCTGTAGTCCTATTAATGCAAACACGCTCAGACAGAACACTGTCAGGATCATGACGTCAGAGAGCTTCTTCACAGACTGGATCAGGGCCCCCACGATGGTCTTCAGGCCTAAATAAAATCAGAAGGGACATTTAAATGCACTACTTAACAGCTACTTTGCTGACAAAAACATCATGAGCTTGTCCTGGAAAATAAAGATGTCATGCAGAATGCCAAGAATATTACTTTAATGTTTGTGACTGAATAACATTTTCATGAAAAGCCTGCTAGCTGGTGAAAATGAATGAAAGCAGAACTTGTACGTTCATTAGAAAACTATGAATGGAAATGAACCAAAGTGTATTTCCAAACACTCCTTAGAACAGAAAAATGATTTTGCCATTCATGCTTAAACATTAACCTTGTGTAAATAGTTTGCTTTTATTTGCAGATGTCTTACTCCCTTACCTCTTAGTGGTTTTTGAAAAAAAAATCCATATAAATAGAGTAGTAATAAACCTTTAAATAACTGAATTATGAGGGTATATTTTTGCAAATTCTATAAGCTTGAGTATGGGTTAAAAAAGGAAGACATCTGAAAACTGAGCCTCATGCAACACTCATGCTATCCCTAGCTCTTTCATTTGTCTGCAGGTAAGAAAATTACCAGTTCGTGACCTAAGTGGTTCAATTTGCATCAGTCCGAGTATCTCATAGTTTAGCTTCTATGCGGAAAGCTTGATGCTACAGGATGCAGACCATGTAGCCTGTTACTGCAAATGCCTCATGCAACAACTTGTTAAACTCAAAGGCTGATTTAGAACAGTTTTAAAGAAAGCAACGAGTAAAAGCAAAGAATCAAGTCCATCCAAAATATGATGTGTGATTCTTGCTTTTTTACAGATTTACCAGTATTTGCAATAGGTGACAAGCAATAAGGCTTATGCGCAAATGCAGCTAACCTCAGCCAATGCACCAATGCAGCTAAACTCAGCCTCGGTGTTTAACCTAGCTCTCACCTGGAATGACTGAAATTGTTTTCAATGCTCGGAGAACTCTGAATGTTCTCAACGCTGAGACATTGCCCAGGTCCACAAACTCTGTCACATATCTGCAGTAGGGAGTTCACACACAAACACAATGACAAAACACAAGAAACAGTTGGAGATATAAGGGGCCTACCACCTTATACCAGTTTCTTCTTACCTGGGATTACAGAAATAGTTTTCAAAGCTCTCAAGACTCTGAAAGTTCGAAGAGCTGAAACATTGCCTAGGTTTACAAATTCTGTTATATACCTGTAGAATTAAATCAGAGTTATTCAGAATTTAGGGAAATCTAAGTCTATGTTGGTCTTACATCAAGACCTTTTCAACTTCAATGAGTGTTGCCATTAGATTTCCTAATTAAGAGAAAAATGGCATTGACATCAATCATCTTGTTACATGGGAAACTACTATGTTACAGTATTAATTGAAACCAAAACCACATAATTTAATATGATAGTCCCTAATTTCTCCAAAGTACATAATTTAATTGGAAAAAAATATTCTGAATTCTCATGATAACTATGAAAAATGTTTGATCTGACAAGGGAAGCCACCAAAGAAAAATACAGTGTAGGCTCCCACCAATGATTTATTCTTCCAGTGTGGAAAACATATTAAAATACTTACGCAAAAGTAATGACTGTGAAATCCAACCAATTCCATGGGTCCCGTAGAAATGTGAAATCTTCTAAACAAAAGCCCCTTGCAAGTATTTTTATAAGTGATTCAAAAGTATAAATTCCTGTAAAGGTGTACCTGAGAAAAAGTAGCCAAGCCCACATTAAAGATATAGTAGGTGATTTAAATGTATACATATATCAAAAGGGACTTACACAATACAAATTAAAGACTCCTATATGGGCCTATGTCTGTCTCCCTAAAATGTAGAGTGTAGGTAAGATTTAAGGCAGGAAGAAATATTACATTTTAAAAGATATTCTCTTTTACTGTAACATTTTACTTGCTATATCAATTTGAAGGCCAAAAATAAGATTCTATATGAAGATATCTAATACACTGCATTTGGTCTGATTGAAGCAATTAGGTAATAATCTAAGAAATGAATGAAGCACTGATGTTCAATAAAATATGCATTATTAAGATGCATAAAATATATACTAATAAAACATAGAAAGGTGATAGCTATGAGAAAATGATAGGTATAATATTTATTATTGGATATTAGTAATCATGATCTTCAAAAGTGTGATACTTACAAGGAAGATAAAGGGCTACAAATATTGGTTGTCAAACCAGTTCAATAATTTGAGCTACTGAGTGACCCACCATTGCAAACTTGCTCCTAGAGGAAGTTATTGCTTGAAATGAACTTGAGTCATGGTTGCTAACATGATTGGAGGAGCTAGTATGATTTGTTAAGAAAGCTGAAGTCTCAAGCTGAAGTCTCAAGCTAAAGTCTCAATGCACAGTTTGAAATATAGAGGGATGAGAATATTGAGAGAAATATTTAATTTTCTACTTACTCCACATTCTTTGTCCAGTCTGGAGGATTACTCATTGTCATAAATACACAGTTGGTAAGGATGGTGCACATAATGAGCACATTGAATAAAGTAGAATATCGTCAAGGAAGACAAAGTTCAATGGAAAATCTCACGTTCATGCATTACCATGACTTTCACTACCATGAAGTTTAGAACTTTTAAGACCTTATACTTTTATTATTGAGTTTGTCATTCTTTCTATTTCTGTCATTCAACGACCCAACGCAAGCCATTAACTATTTTGAGGCTACTTTGGTGCTTTTTAGTAATTAAAAATATCAAATGCAAAGCAATAGGCTCATTAGCAAGTAATTTAACAATTTAACTTTTTTCAATGACAGACTTGATTCACTCAACCAAAGCTGCATGATCAGCATGTATATAAATCATGACAAAAATTCAGAATCCAAGTGATTAAATGCATTGTATCTCAGCATTCTAAGGGTCAATTTAATGGAATGTCTTTAAAAAGATAATTTCTAAGTGGAGTATATAATATACTGTAATTGGTTATAATATTCTAAACAGTAAGAGAAAATGGATGATATTATTTAGCATTTCTTAACTTTGTAACTATGGCCAAATTACTTGTTAATTTTTCTGAGCCTTGGTTCACTTCACCATGAAAATAAGAAGAAAAAACAACAAGACTATTTTATAATTATTTAAAATATGTTAAAGGCACTACACTTAATGTGTTTGATATATAGTAATTGCTCAATAAATTGCTTTTCTAACTTCCTGAAATGTAAAGAACATTACTCATATAAAATGTCTAGTTTGCTTCACTACTCTACTTTGCTTTTGTAGACAGAGCTATTGCCCTTTAGTTTTCTGAAAAATAACAAAACTCTTTAAGAAAATATTTGGTAGTCAGATAATGAAGTTACTTGCTTTTATGAAATTGGAGAACATCATGCTGAGTGAAATAAGCCAATCAATGAAAGAGAAACACCACATGACCTCACTCATTTGTGGATAATAAAGAGCATTATAAACTGATGAACCAAAAGATAGATATAGAGACAGTATATCAACAAGTAGACTGTCAAATTACAGTGGGGAGGGGAGGAAGATCTGGGGGAGATAATAGATCAACCGAAGGACTTTTATACATGCATATAAGTACAACCAATGGACACAAAATTCTGGGGAGGGAGGGGGGCAAAAAAAATCAATAAAATATATTAAAAATAAATAAATAAAAGGTAAAAACAAAACAAAACAAAACAAAAACAAAAAAAAAGCATGAAGATTCAATTGCAATTATGAAAACAACAACCTTTACCAATGTAAATTTAGACACAATTATAAATATGCCAGAGAATACATCGATGCTATTCATAATACTTCTCACTCTTTAATGTAATTATAAATTTTCACATTATGTAATAGAACAAAATATCAACTTGATTTTAAGTGTGGTAAAATAGAACAGTGAGTAGCCAATGTTTCACTAAACTATAAAGGAAGTTTCTTTGCATCTACAATTGGCTTTAGTCAAAGCAATGATTGATTGATTTCTTGTTTTTACTAGTAGCAATATATTATTGCACATGTTTAATTCTCAGCTTGTCCAAAGGCACCCACACAGAAATAATCATAAATGATGTGGATCAGCCATGTGAGGTCACTGCAAACCAGGGAACACACAAAAACACCGTTTCAAAGAAGACACATAGTTTTCCTTTATTGCTGAAAACAAAGAAATAAGGTAAAACTAGAGATGATTTGCTGTTAGTGTATAAAACTCCCCTTGGCAGATTAGCACTATTCTGAATGCTTGGTTCACAACCTCAAGGGTCCTCAATACAGTCCCATATTTCTCTACTTAGCTCCATTTCTTACTCTCTGCAAAGACACTTTCAAAGATTCTCTACTCTGATTTCCAACCTTCTACTCCCCACCACCCACCTGAAGCTGATAACCTTATTTCCTACTTCACTGAGAGAAGAGATATCAGTCTGCCAAATCTCTACTCCTCACCCCCAAATTGACAAACCTTCTGTATTGGGACCTATCATTTCTCCTTCCTGTTTCAAAGGGGGAAGTTTTAAATTCCTCCTTCCATCCTCTGGACACCTTCTACTTTTTCCATAATATTTCATAAATCTCTTTCTTCTCTTATCTTACTATCTTTCACTCTATGTATTGGGCACTTTCTATCAACATAAACTTGCTTATGACTTCTGTCTTGGGGAGAAAGAAGTGAGAATCCTTTGATATAACCCACAATTCTCTCTGACTACTTTTAGCCCTAACTCTTTTTTCCATTCATAGCCAAATTTTCTTAAAAGAGCTGTTTATCTTTTCTTCAATCTACTAGTTTTTCTTTCTGAAGACAACAAACTCTTCAGGTTTTGTCATTAAAAATAAAAGGATAATTTTGAGTTATTTGACTTGCTCGCTCAGCAGTATTTGATAAGGATGATTCTTTCCCCTTTCATTATGCTCTTTTCCCTTTGCTTCATGAGGTCCCAATCCCCTGGTTTCTTCATAATTGTTGTCTCATAAGCAACAATTTCTTTGTATCTTTTTAAATGTTGTAATTCCTTTTTTAAAAGAAGGGCACCTATAAGGCCCAGCGTTGTGGCTCAATGGTTGAGCATCAACTTATGAACCAGGGAATCATGATTCAATTCCTGGTCAGGGCACATGCCCAGAATGCAGGCTCAGTCCTCAGTAGGGGATGCACAGGAGGCACCCAATCAATGATTCTCTCTCATCATTGATGTTTCTCTCTTTCTCTCTCTCTCTCTCCTCTCTCTCTCCCTCTCTCTCTCTCTCTCTCTCTCTCTCTCTCTCTCTCTCTCTCTCTCTCTCTCTCTCTCTTTCTCCTTTTCTCTCTGAAATCAATAAAAATAGTTTTAAAAAAGAAAAGAAGGACATAGTATCTCACAGCCATTTCCTCTTCTCCTGCTATATTCATCCTAATAGAGTAGAGCTAATCAACAAACATAGCTTTAAGAACCATTTACGTACCCACTTACCTTAAATACTTCTCTCTAGGTTAGAGCTCTATTCTGAACTCCACACACCCGATTGTCCATACGATATCTGTACTTATGTATCTCATTGATAATTCAAAAATATTTAAAAGATGGCCAAAAGACATATGAAAAAAGTGCTCAAAGTTACTAATCATCTGAGAGATGTAAATTGAAATGACAATGAGGTACCATCTCACACTTGTCGGAATGGCTATCATCAACAAATCAATAAAGGACAAGTGCTGACAAGGACATGGAGAAAAAGGAACCCTTGTGCACTGCTGGTGAGAATGCACAAGTGTGGAAGACAGTGTGAAGTTTCCTCAAAAAATTAACCCAGCAATCCCACTTCTAGGAATATATTCCAAGAATTCAGAAACACTAATCAGAAAGAATATATGCACTCTTATGTTCATAGCAGCACTATTTACAATAGATAAGATTTGGAAACAGCCTAAGTGTTCATCAGCAGATGAGTGGATTAAAAAACTGGAGTGCATCTACACAATGGAATACTACACTGCTATCAAAAAGAAAGAACTCTTATCATTTGCAACAGCATGGTTGGACCTGGATAGCATTTTGCTAATAAGCCAAGTGAAATAAGCCAATCAGAAAAAGAGAAGTATCACATGATCTCACTCATTTGTGGAATATAATGAACAACATAAACTGATGAATAAAAATACAGAGACATAAAAGCATCAAAAAGACCATCAAACCTCAGAGGAAAGGCAGGGGAGGGTGGAAGAGACATAAGAGAACAACCAAAAACTTGTCTGCTTGTATAGAAGCATAATAGATGGACAAAAACAATAGGGGGTGATAGCCTGTGTGGGGAGGTGGGAACAGGCTGGGAGAGGTCAATGGGGAAAAGAGACATATGCAATACTTTCATATATAAAAGAAATCTATTCTGCATACTGTGCCAAAATGACCTTTGTAATGTAATTCAAAATAATTTCAAGAGCTGTCCACTATTTTTAGGATCGTGATCAAATGTCTTAATATTACCTAGATTTTAGGTCTAACCCCTGTCTATTTCTCTAGTTTTGTATTATTTATTCCTCATTTCACTCTCCTTTATCCCTTTTATTATAATTGTTTCAGATCATCTAATGAAATAAGCTCTTTCTCAAATAAGAGTCTTTGCAAATCCTTTCTACTTCACCCTAGCTAACTCATACTTCTTTAGTACTTGCAAATGCTGTCTACTTCTCCCTAGCTCAGTGGTTGGCAAACTCATTAGTCAACAGAGCCAAATATCAACAGTACAACGACTGAAATTTCTTCTGAGAGCCAAATTTTTTAAACTTAAACTTTTAATGCCACTTCTTCAAAATAGACTCCCAGGCCATGATATTTTGTGGAAGAGTCACACTCAAGGGCCAAAGAGCCACATGTGGCTCTCGAGCTAAAGTTTGCCAAGCATGGCCCTAGCTAACTCATAATTCTTCTTTAGTACTCAGATTAAAAGTTATTTCTAGTATAAAGTTATTCACAATAGCATCTGACCTGTTTAGATATACCAGTAATCTATTACAGTAGCATTTTATATAATTCCTCCAATGGGTAATTTTAAGGTTATTTTTACTAGAATGTATAATTAATGAGGGCAGGGACAAAGTCTGTACCAGTCACCATTATATCATTGCCATTTCACACAGTATCAGTTGACTATTAAATAAAATCAATTTTATAACTCATTTATGACTAAATAAATATTTTTCCTTTTTAATGATTTAGTTATTGATATGGGGCAAAAGTTCATATGAAATTTGTCTCCACATCTATTCAGTACACACATTTCTATACTTTTTTTTGAAAGGGACACAAAAAATATAAGGGGGATGTTCATATCCTCATGAAATTTACATCATAATGGTTATGATCCTTAAAAGTATTTACTCGTTATAATGGTAGAATTATCTATATATGTAAAAGCCTAAGCCACCATTATGACCGATGACCAGATGACCTGCCTGTAGCTATGACATGCACTGACCACCAAGGGCAGACATTCAACACAGAAGCTGCTCCCTGGTGGTCAGTGCACTCCCGCAGCCAGCCAACCTCCTG